AACACTTTCAAATACTTTCAAATTAATACTAATACTTTTACTATTGGATATCGTAATTATAATATATATATATATATACTTTATTTTTTAAAAAATACAAAAACTAAATATTACATTTTTACTAATGACTTACTATCATTTAACGTGATTCGTTCAAGTCTTTTCCCATCTTTTTTGTAATCTTTATTTAAACCAGCTACAAGTTTATGTGGTAATTGCACTTTTTAAATCAATCAACCTTCTCCATGAATAAAATGATGGATTCCACCTAGTACTAATATCTCGAATCACTGTATGAATATCTGGATAACTCAATTCTTTTTGCATATTTTCAAGATTTTCTTTTTGTCTAGGAATAGTGAAGAAGTTAATTAATCTTTTGCATCTTAAAACAAATGCTTGAATGTTTATATTGATTTATTTACAACTAATTGTAATGTGTGAGCAAAATACAAAATCCATCATTGGTAATAGACTCTTCTGACGAAAAATAAAAATTGTTTCTTCTTTATCATTAATTAAAATAATGCCGTTATTTACTGATACCGAAGACATATTACAGATATTCGAATATATAAAAATTATTTGACACCAATTTTGAATATTGATATGCTAATACTAATAATAACGCATTGAATAATGGCTGTGCAATATTATTCTGTGGCGCAGTAAATCTTTAATTGTAATTTTCAAGCAATGAATGCTAAGCCTTCAACAATTAAAAAACACATTACAAATCATGTAAAGATGAAAATTTGATGTTTGTTGGAATTATTAGAGAAATCTAGAACCCTTGATTTTTTTTTTTTTGATTTCTTTTACTTTTCCCCTTTCTTTTTTTTAAATTATCATTTTTTTTTCAATTGGTAAAATTGTTTAAATTTTTGAATTTTTAAAAATTTAGATTTTTTTTTTTTTGACTTTTAATTATGGCTCAGCGGTGTTGCTGCTGGTAAAGATTTTCAGATTCCTTTTTAATTTTTTCGCTCTCAAGTTATTGTAATCCTTTACTTCATCAGTTAACAACAACAACAATATTATTATTACAGCATTAGTTTACGTGTTGCAACAATACTTATTGCGATAATTTTGTTGGCAAGTTTCTTACTTTTTGAATTCAAACCACTTGCATTATTAACTTGAGCCTTATGAACACACGCATCAACCATACTGCTTTGATTTTGGAAGTGAAT